TTTAGTACTTTGCTCCCCATTTCTCTGGGCCAGTAATCCAAGGTGTAGAATGCCAGCAGCCCACATCCCGAGCACTGTTCTGCAGATTGGAACGAGGGAGGTGTGATGCAGCCTCCACTCTGCAAATCCAAACCTCTTTGACTTGTGAACACTCTGAGAAGATTAACAGTCTGGAAAATTACTAATTTCCTTAGTGCTTTTCAAATTTTGGAATTTATCTAGGGACTTCTTCCACCTTTTGGAGAAGTAAGAATCATTAAAAAATGTGGAGAAGAGAGACTTACTTGTTTCCCTTTGCTAAGGTTTAACAAAGATATTGCCCAGAAATTCCAAAGCATCTGGCTAGTATAGACTTTAAGGGGAAGAATTTCACCTGCTAACATGGTCTCTGCAATCTTATACCCACCTATTTGCTTGTTCTACATTGGCTTTACTACTCAGCATTCCTTGGCCCTAGGGATCATGTTGGTACTTATAGCAAGAATGACGCTACAGGGTCACTTACTGGCAGAAAGAACCCCTTTTCCAAAGTTCTGGACTATTACAGGAGTAATTAGAGAGTTAGGTAAGAAACTTTTTCTCTTTTCTTTAGGTTCAGATTACGTGGGCGGACTTTCATCCAATGTGAGGTGAGGGGAGATCAAGTTGAATGGAGTCAACTTCCAACCTGTCAAGGTCAGGCTATTTTTATGGCTTTAAGAGGAACTCATGATTGGAGCTGTTGCAGAATAACTGTTACAGACAGGACCGGCTCTAGGCACCAGCAAACCAAGCACGTACTTGGGGTGGCAGAATTCCAGGGGCAGCGTTCCAGGTGGTTTTTTATTTCTTTTGCTTTGGCAGTTGCACTCTCGGTTTTTGGTTTTGTTTTCTGTTTTTTGTTTTGTTTTTTTTGCTTGGGGAGGCAAAAATCCTAGAGCCGGCCCTGGTTACAGAGCTTTCATGTGTGTTTTATATTCACTCGATTTAGATTATGTCCATCATATAGATATTTTTGGGAACGGGGAGACATGATGAAAGTGTAGGAGGATCCATTGTGTTGCTGGTTCCTTCTGTAGAAGCCACATTCCAAACAAACTCAAAACCCCACAGGCCTCTCTATCCCTACAGAGCATTCCCCTTGAGCTTGCTGTCTGGTGTATAGATTCCAACCCAACTAATGACCTAAACACAAGTGAACCGTGAACACGGGGATGGTGGGGTTCGATTAGTTTCTTATGCCTCACCAAATAATCTCTGCTGCTTTTGAACTCTTTCATCCAACTTTTTTTTATTTAGTGTAATTCCTCCCTGTTAAGTATTGTCCTCCCTTCCCCTCAAAACCAACCAACCAACCCTGGACTTCACACTCAAAATCTTGAGGCTATTTTGGAGTGAAACCCAGTATTAAAACTTCTTCCCAATTTATTTGCTTTAACCTTTTTGTCCTTTTGGACACTACGTGGGGTGGATCTGTCAACCAGGCTATCGCCATCTGGTCTAGAACCAGCTGCAGTTAAAAGGAAAGTTCTAATTTAAGCATTCAGCTTCTGGAACATTGTAGAAGGGCAACTATTGTCTTTCAAGGATGTCAATCAAAGAGTCCCAGCTCCTTGTATATAATGTAGGGGAGAGATGTGTTCTGATAAGGCTGTTATCCAGGATTTGTTTAATGGAGCCAAAATCTTCTAGCTGAACGGATGTTGGGAGTGGAGAAAAGTTTGAAAGCAGAAAGTCTTGTAAATCTAAGGAAGGTAATGCCTCACATTTTGTTAAAACACTATTAATTACACTCTCAAAGGGTTAAATTTTTTCCCCTTTTTGGGAGGAATTGTAAACAAATGTTTATGTAATCTTTACAATTCACCTCTAACTGAAATGTGTATTAATATTCATGATGCCATTCTCTTTTCCTTCAGCGATTACTTGTTCTCCTCCTCCTAATATTACCAATGGGATGCACAATGGCAGTAATGTGGAAATCTTTGACTGTAACTCATCGGTAACTTACAAATGTGACCATAATTTCTCACTTACTGGAGAGGCCTCCATTCACTGTACAACTAAAGATAACATCAATGGAGTCTGGAATGGGCCTGCCCCTGAATGCAAAGGTGACTGACTCTTTTTATCTTCCTCTTGTTCTACTTTCTCCCACCAGAAAAAAACAATATTTTGATTTCTAGGCAAACCCATAAACATGAGGAAATTCAGTTAGGCGTTAATCATCTAAAGATATCACTTGTGGGAAACCTGGTTGCTGTTGGAAACGTAATCCTTAAAAAATGGCTGTTGCTTCACGTACACACAAGGAGGAAAAATTAAGATCTCACGGGTAACCTTAATTCTGTGGTTTCCTAACTGCTGAGTGCTCTACAATTTTAATAACTTGTTTCTGCTGTGGGTTTTATGTAACTTTTGGGTTTCTTAACAAGAAAAAAGAAGTCTATGTGAAACTAATGTCCCGTCCTCCACCTCCTTGTGTCATTGAGGTTTGACTCTTGGGCCTAAGGTACTGTAGCATAGACCTCTATTAAGTTAAAGAACTAATTACAATAATTGGTTGCAGGAGTAAATTGTTATCAGGACCAACCACTAGAGGAGGATGCACAACACACTAAAACAATGGATTATATATGCATGAATAGCCTCATTATATGCACCGCGTAGCCAAGTATTTAGATTTGGCAAATTCTTTCGGTTAGGCTAAGTGGGTGAGACTTGGGTCTGCCATATTAGAGATCTGGGTCTCTTCCTAGCTTATGTAACTTTCGTTCAAGGAGGATGGGCTGCTCAGTGATAATTTGGGTTTTGAAGGGCACAGGATTGTTAACACCAGCCAGTAGAATTAATAAGAGTTGAACTCATCATCTCCTGGTTCCCAACACGGTGCACCTTCTCCTAGGCCAAAGGATATTTTGATGTGAGGGATGGAGATGCACAGTTCTGAGTATGCACATGGCAACACCTTGCAGCGAATGCTCAGTGAGAACAGCATGTTCAGGGATTTTAGAAGTCACTCTAGGAAGTTTTGATGAGTAAAACTGAAGGGAAATGACAGATTTTGGCAGTTTGTAACTCATAATGGCAGCAAGAGGCATCACATTGAGCCTTTCACATCCCTGCTGCAAACCACGGAACTGTAGAGAACTTTTGTAAAGGAAAGTGGTAGGCAGCTCAATGTAGGGGTTGCTATGGGCTTCCCCTAGAATATAGGAATGGGATCCTAGCAGCAGTCTGCAGGGTAGCCCAACCGATAGTACATGGGCTCTCGCTGTGACAACGTGTAAGTGGGATAAGTCTGTCTTGTCTCTAAAGATGCAGTTTCCTAAACATTAGTTTGGCAAGCTCCTGACTCTGAGTGACTCTTGCCAGAATGTCAGAACATGTTTCCTACTGTGTTGGATCAGAAACAAAACATAGCAGTGTGGAATGGACCAGGTCTATGCATTATGGGACTGTTTCCTGTTCCTTCCCCCCCACCTCTCTCAATGCTGAGACTGTGCGGGAAATGCATCTTTATTCAGATTAAATACCTGCCATGTCTGATGGTTGAATTTCCATCAAAGAAAGAGGAAGTCGTTTTTAAATAAAAATGTCTAAATAACACAGTCCCTGTCTAAGCCCCCTGTCTCAGACTCTTTTGGCTTAATATAATAACAGTGACGTACAGCTTGTTCACAAAAGGAAAAAAAGTGAACAGAGTTAGGTTAGTACAAACAATGGGTTTTATATCTTTTGAAAGAAACAGCTCCGGCCAGCTGTAGGAAGCCCGCTCCTGGCAGCAGCAGCGGGGAAGGCTGTTGCACTCAGGGATACAGACTGGAAGGGAAACCCATGGAGGGCTTTAAATGTTTCAATTTTACACCCTAATGAACAAAAGCAAACAAGGGATAGACCTGGTGGGTGGTTTCAGGAGCAGCTGCCCCTCCATGTAATGTGCCCACGGCTGCATCCACAAAGACACACGTGCAGCGGGGCGAGCCGGCCCACTCCATGTATGTGCCTGGGCAGGTCCCCCTGCCTCCTGGGACACAGGCTCGATGCTGATCCCTGGGGTGAACCAATAACTCAGGGCCCAGTGCAGCCTCCTCTCCCCTTCCCATGACCCCACCACTTGCTCCCCGGGCAGTGCCTGGGTGCAAAACAGTGACAGAAGCCCCACTTTTGAACATGCCCTGCCCCCACTTCTCAGGCCCTGCCCCATCCTCTCCTGGCTATGCCCCTGCTCATCGCCCCATTTCCTCACCCTCACTCGAGCTCCGGTCCCCTGACGTTGCTGGGAGAGCCAGAGCGAGCAGTCACGTCCCTGAGACTCCGCTGCCAGCCTCACCATGGTCTCGGCTCTGCGCTGCTCACCCGGCACCCAGGGGCTCCTGACGCTGCTGTTGCTGCTCCTGCCTGGGGCTCGCGGTGAGTGGGTCGGGGTGGGGGGTGGCCCCTGCCCGGGCACAGAGTCCCCTTGGTCCCCCGCCCCCCGCATCGGTGCCGGGCTGGGCGGGGACCGGAGCCGCAGCGGCTCCCCCGGGCCCTCCCCATCACACAGGGGCCTGGTCCCCATCCCCATCCAGCCCCTCAGCCCGGGCTGCATCAGACTCGGGACAAGGGGGCCCGAGCCCCGCAGCAGCGACAGGTACCCGCTGCCCCACCCTGGCCCCTGGCACCACACCTCTGCAAGCCTTGGGCCCCCGGGAGCGCTTCTGCCTGGGAGGCTAAACTGTGTCCCGTTGGTGAGAGTGTTAATGGCCAGGGCCTGCTTCTGGGGGCTGGGGGTGTCTCCTGTCCGTGGTTGGAGGCAGGCTGGGGAGAAAGAAAAAGCCACTTAGAACAGCAGGTAAAGGTGCGGCTGCTGTATCTGACCAGTTTCAGTAAAACTAAGTTTGGGGTGTAAGACTCCTAAGATTATAAAATGAGCAAGTTCCCCTGTTACAGCCTTAGGTTTGTGACTGTACAGAAATGGATTAAAAACTTCGTTAAAGCTAATATTAAAATGATCTAATACACAAGTTAATAAAAGAGCATCTGTACATCTGGGTACAACGCTTAAATTATCCAAAAGTACAAAATTCGGTTTGAAAGTCATAAGGTACATATAGTACATAATCTGCAATATCCTAAATTAAGGTTAATAAATCAGTGATACGGTTAAGGTATTAGTATCCAATTCTTCGGGTACATCGCTCATAAAAGGTTATGCTAAGAGTAGCTTGTGGAAAACAAATATAGCAACGAGTGAAGATTGTCCCTCAGTAATTGAGAATTTAGGATCGGTTGCCCCTTAGACAATACAATACAGAACATCGGGAAGTATTTCAGTTACTTTCCTGACTTTGTTTCTCATTGGCACTTGTCTTCATGCCTGTCATACAGTGTCCATGCATCGCATGAGAAATATGAAAGTCAGCTGTCTCAGAGATAGCTTTCCACCAGCTGTTTTCGCTTGTTTCTAAACCCAGACATGTTTCATGTACTCTTCTATAGATTGCTCCCTTGGTCTCCTTTGCCCTGTACGTCACCTTCTTTCATGTCACTCGGTATGGTTGCAACAGTCTCTCTGAGCCTGTGCTGCGTTAGATCATAAGCCCTGTGAGGTGGAGGACTGTCTTGTTTTGCACAATGTACTTACCTTACGTTACCATATATGCTCAGGGTGATGTATACATGGTAAATAATGTAAAATTTTAATGTACAGCAGTTTTGTATCAAGGGCCATTCAGTGAACTAGCTTCAAGGCTGTAATGAAAACAAGTACATCCAAATTGTTCCCAGTAAAATCATTTGTAACTTCTCAAAAACAAGTATTCTGTTACAACAGACTACTGAATATCTTTCATATTGTAGTTAACTTTTTCCCTTCCTTGTCTGTCTCTATTGCTAGGCATTTGTGATTCTCCTCCAAGGTTGAGTTTTGCTGAGTTGCCTGGGGTAGTGAACAATTCCTATCCTGTTGGGACCGAACTGAAATACTCCTGTCACCCAGGATACGTTTTGGACTCTGGAAAGTCTCCTGTAGTTACATGTCTTGCAAATTCAACATGGTCAGTAGATCCTGAGTTTTGTGTAGGTGAGTGTCTTTGTTGCTTTTCCATTTCAATTGATGTGCAAGCCATCTTGACACAGTTAGGAATCTCTCTTCTATTGGGTAAGTGGTTCACAGTTCAGCACTGGTATCCATAAACACTTTCTAAATACATTTTGGACAGTTCTTTGTTATATTAGTAGTTGACTTTAAAAATTTTAGGCTGCTTTGAGAGCAGCTAAAATACACAATTCCAGTAACATCAACCTTCTGTGCTGAATACTCTCAAATAGGACTCAGAGCAAGAATAGGTTTACCACATTTCTTCCTGATTTTTAGGCCATGTGCTGAATATCTTGTTATGTAACAGTAGATCTAAACTTAAGAACAGTGCAGATCTTCTCTACCAGAAACCCCATTGTCCACACAATGTTCCTGTGACTGGGAGGCATTCAGTGCACACCAGTGAAGTTACTGGAATTTGATACTCTACCTATGCGGGTCAGCTTTAAATGGAGGTATAAAGTAAAGGACATCTAAGCTTTAACCCTCTTTAGTTTCCCTAATGATCTTGGTTCTTACCATGTCACATCTTTTAACTTTATTAACGTGGGTGCCACAGAACACTGGACAACTACAGCTTGGTGTGGTTAAATTCATCGTGTTCATAGTATTTCCTGTTGATAGTATAGGGAGCATCACAAATACTGCAATAAAGTGAAACACTTTGGTGTGGTAAGTGTCTGTCTTTTTTGGAAAAATTGTAGTTGCTCTATCCCTGATAACGAAATATAGAATTCAGCCATACTGAATTCACTGTACTAAAAGTAAACCCAGTATTGAATAATATGTGTTACAAACTTGGACAAAATACTAATTCGTGACAAAACTTAGAGAGTACTTCTCTTGGCTTCATTGCTAAGAGTACAATAAGATTTTTGCAAGTTTCCTCATCTCAAGACTATATATGCTCTATTCCATACAGAAGTCCCTAGTCAATGCAGTACTACAGTAACTAGTAAGGATATATTCAGTTGGATGCTGATGAACCTTAACTCTGCCTCCTTGTGCATATGTTTTAAATTATGATTTAATTTGTCATATTGAATACTGATGGGACTTTCTTGAATAGCCTTAGACTCACCTACTCTGGCCAGCTGGCTTGAGGGAATACTTTATATATAGGCCCTGATTCAGCAAAGCACTTAATACGTTCTTACATCCCAGTGACTTCAGCAGGACTTGTTTTGCTGAATCGATCAGGCCTTAGTAAATAGGTCACAATTTTTACATGCCTTGTCTGCATTGAGAGATTTTTCCCAGCACTTTTTATGATTGTACTAACTTTATCTTTGCATGGATACAGTCTGTCTATATTGAACTCCATATAGATAGAGTGAATTTTTGATACAGTTCATTCTTTTTCGCAATAAGTCTACTGCGGGAGAAAGCATCACAAATAACTCTTGTAGGGGCAAAGAAAAGCTCTTCCACTGAACTTGATTGAGGAACATGCAGTTTTTAGCTGTCTAAAGTCAGGATTCACGTACCAAGAAAACTAATAACAAATATTTACAAAAGGCATAACAAGCCTGTGGAACATACTGCCACAAAATGGAGGCAAAGAACATGGTACGAGTCAAAAAAAGATGAGACACTTAGAAGCTGGTCCAGAAAACACAAATGTGCTTAACCATATTGATTGTTATTAATTATATTTCGGTTCTTAATTCCTTATGAATTGGGAAAATTTTGGCCTACACTGCACAAGAGGTCAGAATAGATTTGCCCTTGGAATTGAATCCCACAATACCTTTAAATTATTATGTCTGTGAGTGAGATCATGTTAACTAGTGTATAGTTACCTAGGTCCTTCTGTTTGCCATTTTTGAATACTGGCACAAGATCAGCGCTCTCCATTCTTCTTGAATTTCCTGGTACGCTAAGATTTATTAGAAGTTAATCAGTGGGCTAGAGATCTCCTTGGCCAACTTTTTAGGACACTTGGGTGCAAGTTATCCCAAGATAGGGAGGGATAGCTCACTGTATCCAAGGGAGTGATAGCTCAGTGGTTTGAGCATTGGCTTGCTAAACCCAGGGTTGTGAGTTCAATCCTTGAGGGGGCCACTTAGGGATCTGGGGCAAAATCAGTAGTTGGTCCTGCTAGTGAAGGCAGGGGGCTGGACTCAATGACCTTTCAAGGTCCCTTCCAGTTCTAGGAGATAGGATATCTCCATTAGGGGGGGGGAAAAGATGTTAATTTAACAATGTTTATCCCTAGGAGATGTAGTTTAACTTCCTCCTTAATTACTAATAGACATGAAAGTACTTCATCATACTCTTTGGATGAGTCTAAGTTGTCATGCTTCTTTCCAAACAGAAAAGGGAAATAATTACTGAAAACTTCTGCCTTTCCTGCATCATAATCTCCATTTAGTAACAGGTTTGTACCATTACTAGGCGTGGTATACTCAATGTATCATCCAGACTTATGAGAATCTGTCACCCCTGCCCTCTAACCTGGGTGCCCTTTACAATGCTTTACTGCTATAGCCTCCAGTCTGGACTGCTCACAATAGCCTCCAATGTGCAAGTCACTCCCAGCTATGTCTCAGCCAGCCCCACCTTGGCTCTCACCAGCCTTGGTTATACTGCAGGGTGACCCCAACAAACTTTTTCCCCCTCCAGAAATGTATGTCTTGTATTGGCCAGCCCTCTCTTGGACAATACAAATTCATATCAAGTCTCTATTTCTTCAATAGAAATAATATGCACACACCTTGTTGAAGTTTCACAGACACTTCAATTTAAACACACTGGATTAGATCAAACCAGTTTATTAACTACAAAGAGATTGTAAGTGAATGCAAGTAATGAGGCATAAGTCCGAAATGGTTACAAGAGAAGTCCAGATAAAACACAACTGGTGCCCAAGTTAATGAACTATGTTAAATTCAAAATAAAGTTTTTCTTACCACATGCTCCCAGCAGTCTTACTGACCCAGCTTCTTAGGTGAGGACCCCTTCTTCAGCTCAGTGGCTGCTTCCTTTGTCTCTTCTAGTGCAGTGATTCGATGGACGGAGTGAGAGGGAGGAGGGGTGCCTGGGAGTGTTCCTCCCTTCTTTTTTGTAGTGTCAGTCCTGCCCCTTGGAAAACATTCCCAGCTGACAAAACGTCTATAGGGAAAGATTTTTCCTGCTTTTTCTTCTTTGGAGGTTTTTTCTTCCTGCTTGATGATTACTTAAATGTAAATTAAGCAGAGCACACATTGCTTTGAAACAGAGCTGTTTGCCAGCTTGTGCTGTGGTTTGCAACATGAGTTAACATTATACAGGGAAATATAACTTCCCATACAGTGTTGCCATGCATTTTATCAGGACAATATTGACCAGTAAACTATAAATTTTCAGATGCCTCACAAGGCATACTTGGTACAAAGATTATTACAGCAGTCTCTAGGGTGTGGACAGGGTACATTCTCTTACAGTAGGATTTCTTTTGTGTCTTAATGAACTTCAAAACCTTCTCCTTATTGTCTGTAACCATGCCAATTGTGACTCTTTCACTGATGTCTTTAGCTCCCCATATCAATTTTTACCTTTCATAATTTATGCCATCCATCCTTTTTCCCATGTACTACGTTACTTTTTATTTGTAATTGCTGCCAGTTGCGGTCAATGGATCTACCCACATGAATATGGTTACGTATATGAGTTTTCAGGATCTGGGCCTTAACATGTACAATATGAATATTTGCACTTATACTAAATCTGCAAGGGGATCTTAATTCTCTCGATTCAGGATATAACACAACCACCGTCTGTGTGGGATTAGGAAGCATCATCCTGCTTCCACTTCTCCTTACTTCCCATGGGCATGTTACACAATTATCCATAATGTGGGTTGTAAGATTTCCTCTGTAGCCTTTGGTGCTGACCGCTGTCGTACAGGACAGATATTGAGCTCCAAGACCATTGGCTTTGATCTGCCGTGGTATTTGCTATGTTAGGGGGTGCAAATTAGCATATCCCCTTTCTCCCATAAAGGTAATATGAGGTAACGCTAATATTAGTCTTGTTCTCTTCTAGGAAGACCATGTAAACAACTAGAACTAGAAAATGGCAGGGTTCATTTAACCGATCTCCGGTTTGGTGCAACAGCAAACTTTTCCTGTAATGAAGGGTGAGTGGCAAGTTGCTTCTTTTGACTAATTAACAGAACCTAGACTGGTGTAAAAGTGCTGGTGAAGTTTGGCAAAATGAGAGTAGAAAGCCTGCTTAACTTCAAGAACACAAGTGAGTGATGAGCTATACATCTGTAGCCATAGGCTGAGCCCTTGTTAAGAATTACACCTGCGATTTTCAAAGGAGTTGAAGGAAGAGAGCCACCCAGCTGTGGTTGTCATGCAGTGGGAGATGGGCACCTAACTCGCTCAGGTGCTTTTGAAGATCCCAGCCTAGAGCCCTCAGGGGATCATCCAGCAGGGGTTGGATCATGGGTCATGAGATTGAGTCCCACCTCACAGGACATGTGGCACTTACTGATCCGTGCCAAATCTCCCTTCTTACAGGGGTTTCTGTCTGGGTGCTGGGAGCTAGTGGCAGAATATTGTCCATAAAATGCCGCACCAGGTAGAAGCAGACCTCTTCCTGCTCTACAATAGCTAATACTTGTCTGTCCCTCCCTTATAGATCTCAGTATTACCCAGGATAGCCTAGAATGCAGTTGTTGTTTTTGTCCATATGGGTTATGTTGCCAAGCCTTGGGGAATCAAAAATAGCTTGTGGTTTCATTGCACTGAGCAGGTGTGTGTTGGATTTTTGGGGTCTCAAAGTTTAAGGACAGAAGGAACCACCAGATCCTCCAGTCTGACCTCTTGTATATCACATATATACAAAAACTTCCCAGGGACCCACATACTAAACTCAACGAAAATTAGTCTAAAATGCTACAGGCCACAGGAGCTTAGACCATTATGTGCCATGGGCAGAGACTAGGAGGGCCTGAGTTTCACAAATTCCTCAGGACCCTGTCATGGCAGGGAAATGTTGAAGTGAGATATATTGAGATAATCCTGGCAAGTGACCTGCACTCACATGCTACAGAGGAAGGCAAAAAAAACCCCACTGTCACTGCCAATCTGACCTGGGGGGAAATTTCTTAACGACCTCACATACTAGAGCCTGAGCATGTGAGCAAGAACCAGCAAGCCGCCAAGCACTGAGGTGAGAGTCCTTGATGCCACCTCCGAGTCCTGGCCTTTCCCATCCAGTGTCCCATCTTCAGCCATGGCCATCCCTGATCCTTCAAAGGAAGGAGATAAAAGAAACCAACTCAGAATACATTGTGTGGGGAATCCCTGCCTGACTGCTGCAGGGGACTGGATGAAATCCTGAAGCGTGAGCCGTTAGGAACATAACACACACACTGGAAACTAACCCCAGGGTTGCTGAGCCCTGCCATCACAAGCAACCCCATCATATAATTGCACCCATAAACTTGCCTGGCTCTCTCTCAAACTACGTTAGTTGAGTGACTGCTCCTGAGCCTCACCTTTCCGATGGTTAGAAACCTTCTAATTTCCAGCCTGAAGTTGTTCATGGCCAGTTTTTACCCTTTGTTCTTGTGACAGCATTGTACTTGGTTTAAATAGCTCTTCACCCTCCCTGCTAGTTGAATGGATTGTGTTGTGTGGGCACGCAAATGACATGAATGCAGGTGTTGTGTAGGGTTTTGTTTTTCTGTATCACAACTTTGGTAGCTTATCCAAGAAGCAGCGATTGGACTCCCAAGGGATGTTTGGGGTGGGGGAGATGTCAAGGCCCAGTCTCAATTAGATGTATCTGGGTGTGGGGAGGTAACTCCCTGGGGCAAGGCTGGCTCTCCGGCTCCACAGAGGTGGGAGTTAAATCCCTTGGCTTATCCTGTAGATTGGTCATTATCCTGCCTTCTGGATGAAGTCAGTTTGATCCACAGACATTTCTGAGCTCTTGTTGAAGGACTTGGTGACTTTCTCTGCAGTAACCTATAGGGGCCTCAGGCTTTGGAATTGTGAAGGCCTATGAGGGCTCTGGGTTTAATGACACTGGTTAGATCTTGGACAGTTAAGATGCTTGAATTTTGAATATGGAACAGGGCGATGGCAAGTGGGTGACGGCTCAGGGCAGCTGTCTTGTCTCCCACTGCTGCTTTCGGCAGGTTGTCTGTGGGTGTAATTCTATTTTACAAACTATCACCTGCTTGGCTGCCATCTGTTCGTTCTCTCTCTTTTTCTCTCTCTCTCTCTCTATTCCCTGCCTTCACAGGAGATTGATTTCTTCAAGTTCTTTCACTTCAATGTAATCGAATGCTTAGTGTGTTCTGTAGTGAAGACCAAGTGTAGCTTTGCTAGTATGTTCACAACTTTGTGTGCTGGGTTTAGCTGGACCTTCTGCTAAATGGACTAAATGGACTAAAGGGAAAGTGGGGGGGTCAGCTTTTGTGGCCTGCATCATGCGGGAGGTCAGACTAGATGACCATATTGGTCCCTTCTGACCTTAAAGTCTATGAGTCTATGACTTGGAGATGCAGTGCTTCTGGCTGCCCAGCAGGGGCAGCATTGGTTAAAGTAGGAGAAAACGTAACAAGAGCTGCTTCAGCTGAGCCAGCCTGACACAATAAGGCAGAGAAGAGGTTTTTAGTTCTTATGCAGAGAAAAGCAGAGTAACTCTAAGGTGCAGAATGTCAGCGGCTCAAACACTTCCTCCTACGTGTTAGAATAGTATGAGAGACAGCCTCCTACTCAGCAAGTCCAAACCCTTTTTCCATGTCAAAGCACTGTGAGCAGTGATCTGTAAAATAACTAGTTTTCTGGGTATTTGAAGAGTTCTGTAGCAAAGGTGGTAGGGTCTTCTTTCACCTCTTGGCGATAGGAGTGCAAAAATGTCTAATTTAGAAGAGGGGTAATTTGTTCCCCTTTTCCGAGGATTAACAAGTATTCCCAAGCATCTGCTAAACATAGCCCAGAAGCAAGGATTCTCTCCTGCTAACGCTTTTGGAAGCTATATCCTCTGGTTTGTATCTCGTTATTGCCATTAACTACACAGGGCCTGGTCTTCACGTACAGCGGCGCAGCTGTACTGTTGTATATAAACATGCTCTTGTACTGATGGGAGAGTCTCTCCTGTCAGCATAGTTAATCCATCTCTCCAAGAGCCAGGAGCTATGTTGGCGGGAGTTCTCCTGTCGACATAGCGCTGTCTACGTGAGGGGGTTAGGCCAGTATAACTGTCACTCAAGGGTATGGATTTTTCACACCCCTGAGCAAGGTAGTTGTACCGATATAGATGTGCAGGATAGACCTGGCCTTAGTGTTCCTTGGTCCTATGGTGTTAGATGTGTCCCTTTTTCAATGGTTTGTCTCCACCTACTGGCAGAAAGAAACCACGTTCCATCTTTCTGGACAGTTAACTAGCTCTTTGCTTACATGAGTAACAAACTTGAACCATTTTTCTTTCTTTAGGTACAGATTAAATGGAACGACTTCTGCCCAATGTGTGGTTGTGGGAAATGGAGTTGATTGGGATAAGGAGCTTCCACTTTGCCAAGGTAAACTAATCTAATGATTTTAAGAACGGTTCACGTCTGGAGATGATGCAGCATAGCTGGTGCTTCAGAGGAGTCTCTGTTCTTACTTTGTCAGTGATGTATTTCCTAAGGGCAAATAGGTTCAGTAATTCCAGGAGCCGTTGAAAGCGCCATTTCAGAGCGCTCTTTTCCCTCATTGTTCCTATTGTAATCTTTCATACAATTTCCCTAAAAATCTTAGTCTGAGCATTGTTTTTACATGAGTCTGATTTCTATATGCAAAACTCCTTGACATCAGTGATTGCAGTTCTGTTCAATCTGTGGCAAGGAGTTACCCATTTCATAGAATCATAGAAGATTAGGGTTGGAAGAGACCTGAGGAGGTCATCTATTCCAATCCCCTGCTCAAATCATGACCAACACCAACTAAATCATCCCAGACAAGGCTTTGTCAAGCCGGGCCTTAAAAACCTCTAAGGATGGAGATTCCACCACGTCTCTAAGTAACCCATTCCAGTGCTTCACCACCCTTCTACTGAAATAGTGTTTCCTAATATCCAACCTAGACCTCCCCCACTGCATCTTGAGACCATTGCTTCTTGTTCTGTCATCTGCCACCACTGAGAACAGCCTAGCTCCATCCTCTTTGGAACACCCCTTCAGATAGTTGAAGGCTGCTATCAAATCCCCCCTCACTCTTCTGCAGACTAAATAACCCCAATTCCCTCAGCTTCTCCTCGTAAGTCATGTGCCCCAGCCCCCCAAATCATTTTTGTTGCCCTCCGCTGGACTTTCATTTAATGTCTAACTAGCAGCTGTAGAAGATACTAAATGACCTTACTCTAGTAAGGACAGCTAAAGTCTGTCTCTTGAAACAGTCTATTTGGATAATTTGAAATACTGATTACAATGCTTTTTACATCTAAGAATATGTCTACAGTGCAATTCGAAATCTGTGGCTGGCCCGTGCCAGCTGACTCAGGCTAAGGGATTGTTTAAGGTACTGCAGCATAGAGCTCTATCAAGTTAAAGAACTAATTATAATAGGTGGGAGCAGCAGTAAATTGTTATATTGTCCAACCACTAGAGGAGGATGCACAACATACTAAGACAATGGATTATATATGCACGAATAGCCTCAATGAGGCTAAACAAGGATACGTGCAGAGTCCTGGACTTAGGACGGAAGAATCCTATGCACTGCTACAGACTTGGGACCAAATGGCTAGGTAGCAGTTCCACTGAAAAGGACCTAGGGGTTAAGGTGGACGAGAAGCTGGATATGAGTCTACAGTGTGCCCTTGTTGCCAAGAAGGCTAACAGCATTTTGGGCTGTATAAGTAGGGGAATTGCCAGCAGATCGAGGGACATGATAATTCCCCTCTATTCGACATTGGTGAGGCCTCATCAGGAGTACTGTGTCCAGTTTTGGGCCCCACATTACAGGAAGGATGTGGAAAAATTGGAAAGAGTCCAGTAGAGGGCAATAAAAATGATTAGGCGTCTGGAGCACATGACTTATGAGGAGCGGCTGAGGGAACTGGGATTGTTTAGTCTGCAGAAGAGAAGAATGAGGGGGGATTGGATAGCTGCTTTCAACTACCTGAAAGGGGGTTACAAAGAGGATGGATCTAGACTGTTCTCAGTGGTACCTGATGACTGAACAAGGAGTAATGGTCTCAAGTTGCAGTTGGGGAGGTTTAGGTTGGATATTAGGAAAAACTTTTTCACTAGGAGGGTGGTGAAGCACTGGAATGGGTTACCCAGGGAGGTGGTGGAATCTCCTTCCTTAGAGATTTTTAAGATCATGCTTGACAAAGCCCTGGCTGGGATGATTTAGTTGGGGATTGGTCCTGCTTTGAGCAGGGGGTTGGACTAGATGACCTCCTGAGGTCCCTTCCAACCCTGATGTTCCATGATTGTACGCACCGCGTAGCCAAGTATTTAGATTTGGCAAATTCTTTCGGTTAGGCTAAGTGGATGAGTCTTGGGTCTGCCATATAATAGATCTAGGTGCTCTTCCCAGCTTGTGTAACTTTCATTCAGGGAGGATGGGTTGCTCAGTGATAACTTGGGTTTTGAAGGGCACAGGGGTATCATCACCAGTCAGTAGAAATATTGAGAGTTGAACTCCTCATCTCCTGGTTTCCCAACACAGTGCACCTTCTCCTAGGCCAAAGGATACTTTGATGTGATGGATGGAGATGCGTAGTTCTGAGTTGCACATGGTAACACCTTGCAGCGAATGCTCAGTGAGAACAGCATGTTCAGGGGTTTTAGAAGTCCCTCTAGGAAGTTTTGATGAGTAAAACTGAAGGGAAATGACAGATTTTGGCAGTTTGTAACTCATGGTGACAGGAAGAGGCACCACATTGAGCCTTTCACATCCCTGCTGCAAACCACAGAACTGTTAGAGCTCTTAAAGAGAGAGAGAGAACTTTTGTAAAGGAAAGTGGTAGGCAGCTCAATGTAGGGGTTGCTATGGGCTTCCCCTAGAATATCTGAATGGGATCCCAGCAGCAGTCTACAGGATAGCCCAACTGGGCTCTCGCTGTGACAACGTGTAAGTGGGATAAGTCTGTCTTGTCTCTAAAGATGCAGATTCCTAAACATTAGTTTGGCAAGCTCCTGACTCTGAGTGGCCAGCTGATGATGGCAGACTGATGTAATGTTCATAACTGCTATTTCCTCTTCTTTTTGCCTTAGTTGTAATTACCCAGGACAAACCCACAACTGTCCCTCCCAAAGGAACAGAAGTAGCTGGTACTTCCTCAGGTAAATTGGAAGAACTTGGATTTGCTAAAAGTCTAGAAGTTTGGGTTCAAATTTCCACTTGAATAAAAATGGAATGTACAGTGTGAGGGTCATTTTAATTTATGCAATCCCTTGAAAAGCTGCTTTTCTTCTTTGTGAGGTTCTCGAGGGGTCAGATCATGGTTTCTAGTAGCTAATGATTATTCATTTTATACTCTGGTGTTTTATGTGACTCCAATAATTTTTCATTCGTATCTGGTATAATTTAAGGTACGAAGTGTGGCTTCATATGCATAGATTGTGGATGAGTTCCTGTAGGTTATTGACATGAATATGGTTTCATATTTTAGGTCACATTTTTGTTCTCTTTAGGGCCTATCATTGATACACTCATCGTCATTGTCATTGTCATCGCCGTCAGCATCATCGTCATCATCGTCATCATCATCGACAACCGCATTGGCAAGTAACCTAATACTGAAAAACTAATTTGATACACTAGAGCAGGGGTCGGCAACCTAGAGCAGGGGTCGGCAACCTACCACCCCAGACTTATAGAGAGAGACCTTCTAAAAAACGTTAACACGTATTACCGGCACGCGAAACCTTAAATTAAAGTGAATAAACGAAGACTCGGCACACACGTCTGAAAGGTTGCCGACCCCTGCACTAGAGCTATGACTGTGTTCTGAGGTCCACAGTCCAGGCTATTTTACTATTGCACTTCCTCTATCTCATTTTTCCCCCTGCTAAAGGTCCTTGGATTTTAGGATTCTTGAATTTCTCTGCCGTTGACTAACTTTTTGCCCTGTAGCGCCATGTAAAATTTATGTCCATGATTGAAATTGCACTGCCGTTCCCTGGAGAGAAGTCTGCATTAATACTCTTAGTTACTTTCTCTGTCTGTAGGCTTCTAATTTATTCACAATATTTTCCTGAGCTAAGAAACCTGCTGTGATTCTGTCTTAAATTTGTGTTCACAATATTGGGGAACAGAAGGGGAGTGAAGAATCTCATTTCCCCCCTGCTCCCTCAAGAAAAGTTTCACTTCTGTAATTCTGTCTTGGGTGAGAATACTTCCTCCACACTTAGGACTGCATGTTTGTCTGGTGCTCACCAACAATGGAAAGGACAGAAGCCAGGAAGGGAAATTGTCAGAAGATCCATGCAAGCCCTTCCTAGGTTGGATTTGACAGTCTAGCATCTTGAGAATAAGAAAGTTGTTGCTTATATAAATGAAGTTCCCACCATTCAGTTAGTCAGTCTGCAGTGCAAAGGGCTCCACTTACCAGAGCCTGTGTGTTTGTCATCATGCTAGCAAATTCTGAACACACGTGCAACCCTTTCCCAAAGAATTCCCATAAAGGCTGAAATAGCTTAACCTTTGTGAACAGTTTTTTTCACTGTATAGGCCCCCATTCATCAAAGCACTTAAGCGTATGTATAAATCCCACTGAAGTCAGTCAGAATTAAGTGTGTGCTTTAAGTTTGTGTTTAAGTGACTTGTTAAATTGGAGCCATAGAGCAGCTTTGACAAGCAGCGGGTACGGTTCCTGTGTGCTTGGAGCACAGCCATGCTAGAGGCGGCTGTTACAAGCAGGTTTCTAGCAGTTTTCCTGATCCATGTTGTCACGGCTGATTCCCAACTCTGTCATGCTGAGTACAGGAAGTGGGAGCCCGCAAGGATTTTAAAAATTAATACTTGCCACTCCAGGCTTGTATAAAACTCCCAAGGTTACAGCTTTTCTCTGACCTTCTTAAATGCTGCCACCACCCAAATGCAAAAAAACCCCTTTGAATCCAGGGAGGAGCACTTGGGAATTCCTCCCTGTGGGGTACCCTCAAGCCTTTTCAACCCCCTCCAGGGAAGAGCTGAGAAAGAAAACAAAGGAAATTAGCTGTGGCTACCAGCTAATTAAACAACATGCACAAACCTCTTAGGACACCAAAAATCTGATCTTCTTTTTAAAAAAGGTAAATTTTATAAAAAACAAAAAGAAAGAAAATCCATCTGGAACTTAGGCTTTTGCTAGATTTTAAAAGAACAATTCCAAAACCAAGCACCCAAAATAGCTTTCTTGGGGGATCAGCTTAAAGGTTACAAGCAAACAAAAGCATCTGGGGTTAGCACAGAGGACTTCCATAAGCCAAAATAAAGAAAATAAACAGAAATAAACCTGATCACGTCTAGCTAAACATTCTGATCTACTTACACCTTTGGGTTGTTAAAAGTAGTTCTAGATATGATCTGATGATTTTCATATCTG